TACTTTATACAGTATGTACAATAAAAAGGGTTAAGAACACTTTATATACAGTATATAATGTATTATATATATATATATATAATATATATATATATATATATACACACACACACACATACATACACAGAGACGCGTGCACACACACATATTGCATCACTGAGGAAGACAGAGCATCGAAAGGCAAACAAACATTCACCTGAAATTTCAATTCAACTCCAACGTCCTCAGAGATGGCCAGTGCCTGTTTTACTAATGTTGGACACTAGGTTCCATCCACTATCATGCTTTCCCAAGGCTTCTCCGGGGGATTAGAATCTGTAATGTTGGCTCCACCTAGCAGTAAGAGTCTGTCATGTCAGCCTGGCTTGTAGCAGTGGGTATGGGTAACCAGGCCGTCCCATTCCATCGGCATCCAACCTAAGTGATACATTGGGCTCTGTAAGGAAGGTGCCCACTAACTGTGGTCCAGCTAATACCCTCCCCCTGGTCTCTTCCTTTTTCTTTTTCTCTCTGGAGGGGGGGGGGGGCACACAGGCCTCTGAAGACTGGAGCATCCTTCTTCATGCAGCAGTCCTCCTCCTGCAGATATTCTGGCATAATCCCCCTGTAGCAGTGAGTGCAAGACTGTCTTCTCTCCATCTGCCATCTTGCTATGCTGAAAAGACGCCCTGGCTGGTACCAGAGTTGTTCTTCACTCCTCTCTCTCCACAGTGTGGGATTTATCTACCCCAGTACAATCACTTTAGGCAACTGCTTGATGATTGTCTTTAATCCCCGGGGTATTGCCTGCCACACTGATATGAACCTTTACCAGAATAATTTTTGTTTTTGTTTTTTCCTTTGGCACTCTAAAATAGAAGTATTGAGAAAATGTAACAGAAAAATTACTTATGATATGCAAAATTTTTCAGAAGTGATAATATACCTTAAATAGAAAGTGTTGTTTGCTTTTATATTTTGTTTTCTCTTCTCTCCATTCCCCATACCAACTGTTGTCCTGTGCTTTGTTAGACAAACCTATATTTGATTTCACTATAACCATATCTAAGTCCTAGGTGTTAAGTGAAGAAGTGATCTGTAGTGGAACTGGGAAGCTGGACGCTTGAGGGTGGGCCTGTCCCTATTTCTAACTTTTAGTGAGACAGTGGCAGGGTTGCCAACTGTCAGCAAATTTACAGACAGTCTGTAAAAAATTAGCTGAAATTGGACATGTCCGTAAAGTGTGTTTTAAAAAAAAAATAAAAAATTTAGGTGTCTGTAAATTTCATAAAAGTGCAATACAATTTCAAAAAACAGCAATTATTCTATAGCAAAGGTCTAACCAGCCTCCTATTTTTCATATTCATTGCACTTGTCATGTTGCTGCTTTATGTGCAACTGATGCGTGCAAGGCAATGCCAAAGGTAATTGAACAGCTTTGCAGAGATATTCATAACCATTTTACGCACAGCTGCAAACAAATGCAAGTTTATAAAGAGTTTCAGGAGTTTTTAGAGGGGCTGAGAGAGGGAGTTAAATAGCATATTGTTCTTGTGATGTATGAATGACAATGATTACTTTTCACTTTTGGCCATTTATGTCATCTTAATATAGTATAAAAATTATGTCCATAAAAAAATTTGTCTGTTCATAAATGTTTCCCATTTTGTCCATAAATGAAATTTCTGTGGGTTTGCAACTCTGGACAGTGGGGCCTGTGAGGCCTAGAGGAGAGTGTTTGTTTTGCCAGTGGAGTTGGGGAGCTGACTTCTGCTTCCTCAAGCTAAGAGTGGGGGGTAGTGTGGTGCCTTCCTATCTTGAAAGCTCCTGGGGAGTGTTGCAGAAGTCTTTCAGCAGAAACACTGCACTATATACCACTCTTCAGCTACTGAACACGAAACTAGCTATATTATCTTGAACTAGTGTAGGCTCTTTCCAGTGCCCATCTATAGCGGTGTAGCAGAATTTGATGTTTATGGTTAGGAAAGCAGGCGTATGGGAAGGTATTTTTGATAAACAAATTACTTATACATTTTGGCTACGTCTACACTGGCCCCTTTTCCGGAAGGGGCGTGTTAATTTCAGCTATCGTAGTAGGGAAATCCGCGGGGGATTTAAATATCCCCCGCGGCATTTAAATAAAAATGTCCGCCGCTTTTTTCCGGCTTTTAGAAAAGCCGGAAAAGAGCGTCTACACTGGCCCCGATCCTCCGGAAAAAGCGCCCTTTTCCGGAGGCTCTTATTCCTACTTCGAAGGACATTTTTATTTAAATGCCGCGGGGGATATTTAAATCCCCCGCGGATTTCCCAACTACGATAGCTGAAATTAACACGCCCCTTCCGGAAAAGGGGCCAGTGTAGACGAGCCCTTTGTGTTACTGACTCGTAAATCTGCTTACCTGAATTCCCCTGGTTACCAGACACCATTTTTGAAAATAGGCCATTGGTGCAAAGTTCATAATCTTGTTCATAATGGTCACAATATCTACTACTGAAACAGTCTCTGTGTGTGTTTTCTCATGGGTCTTGCTAATAATTCATTACTGTTTTCTCATTTTTATATTGGAATGTGTGGCAAAGCCAATGAATTCTGTTATATGTCTTTATAGAAGTATGACACATCACTTTTTATTAAGTTTTTTAACCTTTTGGCAGAATGTTATGTCATGTTTGGGAAGCAAGAACATTTGAAGCCCTATTTAAATTGCCTTTGTATTTTTCTATTAATCAATAATGTATTGTGGCTGTCTGCTTCAATCTAGGTTTGTACAAGTCAGAAACTGTGCAGTACTTTGAGGAGGAAAGTGAATGATATTGAGACCCAACTACCAGCTTTACTTGAAGCCAAAATGCTTGCTGTATCAGGTAAGGTTTACCTAATAAGAGAGAGAGAGAGAAGTCTTCATAATAATGCCTTAGAAAATGTTTAGTGAGGGGGATATGTAGTAGTCATACTGAGAATGTAGTATTATCACTATAGTCCAAATGTATAAATATGTGATGGGTAGATTTCCTGATTTTGACATGTTAAAAGTACTTACTGCTCTTCAGTATCTGAAGAGCCATAAAAATAACAAAAAGGTATAATAATTATGTGGCTGAGTATTAAATGACACTGTAAAATGGAATACAACAATTGGTAGCTTCAGCTATTCAGATCATTAAACAACTAATGTTGGCAGTAAAAGAGCAATTTGGTCCTTGGAAGCACTCAGGTGTATTATTTACAACTAGTAAAACACTATATGTGAATACAAAGCCTGATTCATAACAGGTTACATGCCACTTATTTGGGATTACTGCACCATTTACTAAGGAAAAAAGACACAGCATAATTTTGTTTCCAAGTTAAATAGCTGGCTTTTGTAATTCAGTAAGTCTTTCCCACGCATGTAAATGGATACCACTTCATTAGGCACCTGCTACAGAGGACAAGCCAAAATAAAAGAGGTGTAGATTCAGGCAGAAAATGAATTCAGTCTTGCACCCAGTTAAAGAAAAGGGCCAGTGTGTGTTTTACATGTGCCAGAAGGATACATGTGACCTATTCTGTGGCTATTTATTCCTTGAATTAGAAGCTATAGTATTATTTACAAAAGCATAAATAATTGTAGAATATAGCATTGTGTATTGTTTTTTAGAGCTGAATAATGTAAAACTTGAATGCAGACTTCAGGATCAGACAAAATTGGAATGGAAAAAATTAGAGCCCTGATCCTGCAAGTTTCCATATTCTTCCATGTGTCCCTTTCTGGATAGAATTCCTTGTGTTTTGCTTGGGTAAGAATTGCAATGTCAGAGCTGTAGTGGATTTTCGTGTGCATATGTTAAAGCAACATGGATCTGTGTGTTTTTTGGAATCATGAGGCAGATTTACCAGTATTCTCCATCTGCTTTACACTACTGCCATGATGCAAATTAGCCAGAAACCAGATTTACAGTCACTTTGTGTTGCAAGAGTGAAGAAGCTAAAAAGAACTGGTGCATCAGATTCTGACATCTTTAGAAAATAAAATGTGTTTGCTATGTAAAATCTTCCATAGCAAAGCATTTTGTACTAATTTTTAAAAGAGGTTGCTTAGAGTTCAGCAAGAGATGTAAGAGACAGTTTAATGCATCTGTAAACTGTCTTCTCAATGCTATGAATACACTGCTGTTGCATGCCTTTTTAGGAATGACAGTACTACTTCTTTGCAAATTATGATTTTTTCACTCTGGCCCTCTGAAAAGCTCTTCTAGTGCAAGAGTATTTCAAGGATCAGATATTATAAAATGTTCCTTTATTGTCTCCTTGCCAGATGTCTATATTTTGCTTTCATATGCTGGCAGGCATGATAACTGTTTATCTCTGACAAAACAGAAGTAAATTATTTTGAAGTTTTGTTCTTTGACAGAATAATCTGTTTGGGTGCTGTCTTGCAATCCTTATTCAGACAAAACTCCCAATTAATTCAGTGGAAGATTTCCAGGGGTAAGGATTATGGGCTCCAGTTCTGTAAACTCACACAGTTCTCTTTCATTGACTTTTTTTTTGTCCTGCACCGGCACTGTTTGTTTGTTAAATGTGATTCATGTGACTTGACTTGTTTGCATTTCTTTTTTACTAGTGGTGGCTTGAAGATTAAGTAATTATTTTGAAGGCGTAATAAAACTCCATGTAAAGACAGAAAACTGTTGCAAATGTCCAGAAAGGAGGCATGTGATAGGGAAGAGGTCAAGGCCCTGAGATTTTTCTTTAAGAAGTTGTGCCCTAAGGGAAAGGAAGATTAGATAATGAAAAGCTTTTGATGCTATCAGTCTGAGATGTACTTTTTTATTGTAGTTTAGGAGGAGTTTTATTTTCTGAATGAGCCAGTCGCTGCAAAGCGCTGAGCCTAGTGTGCTGAATTCAATGAGAGCTGCTGGGAAATGCCTTAGTCCCCACTGACATCTGTGGGAGAAGTTGAGGGCACTCAGTACATCATCTCTGCAAGATGATGCATTATGTAATTGTGATGGATTTGGTCAATGGGACCTCTGTGGGATTACACTAAGCAACTGGTTACATGTAATATCCCACCTTCAGAGTTGTTCTAATAAGCTTATTTCACAGACTAGAAAGCCTCCCAGTGTGGGCTCAATCCTTTCCATTGCCCTGTTCAGTCTTAAATTCTTTCAGCAGTCATCTTGGGTGAGGTAGCCACGGTGAACTGACAACCTGGATTGCCTCACTATACACTGTTAAATAGGATTTGCACAGGGTGGGACTCCTTTTTGTTTGGTTTAAATTTTTTCCTTACTTTCGATGGAAAAGCATAGCATCTGAGATGAATCTCAGCAGCAGGTGACATGGCCACATGTCTTGGTAGGACCAACTATAACCCCTCTTCCCAGGCTTACAAGGATAAACAAATCTATTCATGGATCATTTTTCTGAATAGTGAGCCATTAAGCTCCTTGAGTGCTACTAATGCCTCTCACTTAGCAGATCTATACTTCATTTCTAACTTCAAATACAGAAATGATAAATGCATACAACATGAGAGAATCATATTCAGTAAATTACAAACTTTCCAATGGTATGTCACTTGAAGTGTTTCACACGAGCAGGTAAGGCCCATCATTGACAGGGCAAAATCATTTTGCGTAGATTACTCTTATAGCAAAGTTCAAGAAATTAAGTAGCTGTAATATAGTTTTTTATTAATGTACTTGCAAAAGGGAAATAAAAGAACAGTTTTAAATTTGTAGGATTTCAACTTCAAACATTATTCATTTTATTAATGCAGAGTAACTTTGAATCAGAAACTTCGTAAAGCTTTCATTACTCTTTCCATAACTAATTTGAATTGTAATGGTAAACATTTTTTTTAACTAAAATGACAATTTGAATAGGTGACTTGATTTTAATGTTGTTCGCAAATACTTTTTATGAACTCTAATCATAATAGTCATGACTTTTTTCCAATGAAAAACAGGAATAATTTAAACCGTTCACCTAGCATATTCCCATGTAAAAAGTAGTACATTCAGCTAATTTAAGAGGCAGGATTGTTTATGCAAAATTTGGTATCTGTAGGTAATCGTAAAGTATGACTTTATTTTGCACAAAAAAATCCACAAACCCTTCAAAATATATAATGAAGCATATTCCACTTATATCACATTCATATTCTTATTAAATGTGCATGTGATTTGATCACTTGGATGCCATTGTTCTTCTGCTAGTGTATAGCTAAATTTTGATATGGATGTTAATAACACCTGAATACTAGTTAAGGGAAGAAAATAAAATATCCTATCTACTGTTGTGTACACTCTGTAAGATATAGCAGGAAGGAGGTGCACATGTCTGTAATGGTGTAACAGTATACTGATCCACTGTGTAACAGTATACTGATCTGGATGGTTTATTTACCATTTGTGCCAGGTTGTCCCCTTTTGAGATGCCACCTAACTTCAGATGTAGAAATGATACACACATAATCTACAATATATTTGAGAGAGTTTGTACGTCTGTCTGTGTGCCCATTTGTTCAAGAATTCTTCCTAAACAGTAAGAGCTAAGACCACCAAATTTGGTATGGAGCTTCTTCTTCCCCTCACTTTGCAGTATGGTGAGGGTTTGGTTGTGCCAGGACAATGGAATGTGTGTGGAATGTGATTGTTTTTCGTCATACACAAAGGGGAGGGGTTGATAGCAGGAACAGTTATACTCCCAAATGACCATAGGAGGCAGCAAGCATGGGGGACAGTTATACTGAAAAATGACCATAGGAGGGCAATAAGTCCTGGGGAGCAGCTTGCCTCACCAGAACTCTTAGGTAGAGAGCAGCTCACACATTTTAAAAAGCCAGCTGTTCTCCACTCTGGATAGCGGGGAGGGAGTCTTGGCACACTGCCTCCGCCCCATGGCAAAATCTTTCAGCTTCCATTAGCCAGTTTCTCCCTCCATCCCCCCATGTCCAGAGTGGAGCCAAGTGGAGCAGCGAGCAGCCTGTAGCAGATAATCTGCCTAAGGTTCCTGTAGGGCTGCTGGCTGGGAGCTGTCTAGGTAAGCACCTTCCACCCAGAGCCTGCCTCTGGCACCCCATCCCCTCTTTCCCCACTGATTCCCTGCCCTAGGCCACCACCCCAACCCTCTGTACCCGCTTTCCCCCTTCTCCCAAGTCACAACTCCCTCTCAGACCCTGCACCCCACCTCCTATACCCTCCCACAGGCCAGAATCCTCTCCTGCACGCAATTCCCCTCTGACCCTGCATCCCATTCCCCTGACCCAGGTCATCACTCAAACCCTCTGCACCCCCTTCACCCAGGTTATAACTCTCTCCCAGACCTTACATTCCTTCCTAAAGCCCCTCTGCCTGGCCAGAATGCTCTTTTATACCCATACCTGCTCCTGGACCGTGCACCCCAAACCCTGCCCCAGATCACAGCCCAATTGTCACCCAAACTCTCTCTGATTCCTCACACCCTCCTTCACCCCAGTCCCGTACCCCAAGCACCCTTTTGGACTCAACCTCCGTCCCAGACTGCACACCTCTTCCATAGTGCAGCCCTTGACCACTTGCCAAAATCTTGGAGTGGACCCCCATAAAAAATATTGCCCACCCCTGAGCTACTGGCTGGCCAGCATGGGTCCTGCCTCCCCAGGGAGAAGCTGGTGAGTGGACCCTGGGATCCCTGCTGCCCTGGCTCCAGGACCCTCCTCTCCCCAGGTGATGTGGCCTGAGGGAGAAGCTGGCAGGTAGGCCACATGGCCCCCATTGTATCTATCCCCTGCTTTGAGCCTACTGTTACTCCTCCTGCAATGAGGAACTACCGTTACTCCTCCTGCAAATTTAAATCCCGGGCTTCATTTGCAAGTTCGAATGCCTACATTAGC